ACTAATTAATGCTGTTTTCAATTGGAAAACAAATCTAAATAAAGTCGTGGCATGACTGCTGAATTAAAAAAAAAAAAAAACTTTAAAAATATTCTAAAAATCTTCCTCTATATGATATAGAATATATTGATAATCATGATATATCTAAAATTTGGTAATTAACTTCTAGACAAACTGATAATTATATTCAACAATTAGCATTAAAAATGTTTGCTATTGTTTCTCATCAAGTAATATATGAAAGAGTTTTTTCAGTATTAAATTAGAAGATTAGAAAAAAAAGAACAAGATATTATAAAATAATTTATTTATTATTTTAATTAAAAAATAAAAATTTTAAAATATTAAAATTAATTAGTATAAATAGAATAATTATTTTAATATAATAAATATTTTTATTTTAATTATATTAAAAATTAATTATTTATAATTTAAAATATTTTAAATTAAATATTAATCTTCTTTAGTCAATAGCTCAAATACATTGTTTTTATATTACAAATATAAAATTAAAATTAAAATTTTCTAAAGAAAATTTTAATAAAAATGAATTAGAAAATATAATTAATGAAATATCAATATCATTAATTGAAAATAATAATTTTTTTAATAATGAAAGTAAAAATAAAGAAAATGAAGATAAAGATGAAAAAAGTTTAGATGATATAGATAATAGATAAGATGAAACCAATTTTGAAAATTTATTTGCAGCTAAAATGATTTATTTAAATTATAAATATGATTTGCTCAATGCAAGAAGTATTGTTATTAATAGAATTAATGAAATATGATATTTTACCATTCTACTATATAGTAAAATTAATTCTACTATAAGATTCTTTTGCTGTAAAACCTAAATGCTGTAATGCTATAATACCATAATACTATAATGCTATAATACTGTAATACTATAATACTATAATACTATAATATCGTATGCTATAATATCATAATACTGTAATATTATAATATTGTAATACTATAATACTATAACTATAATACTATAATACTATAATATTATAGTATTATAGTATTATAATAATATAATATTTTAAAGATGAATTTTTTAATAATTATTTAAAGATTAGTTTAATTTAATGAAGCTTAAGCTATTTTAACTTATATTCAGACTATATATAATTTATATAGTAATTAATTTTTTTTATAAATTATTATTAAAATATTTTATTATATTTGTAATAAGCTATAATATAGTATGTAGTATATAATTTAATATTTATTTTTTTTAAATAGGAAAAATTTATATATTGCTATGGCTACATATAGCCTATACTATATAACTATACTATATAATATATTATATTATACTATAAGTTATTATAAAGTACTACAATATAATATATAATATTATGTAACCTACAATATATAAAATACTACTATATAATACTGTATAATTAAATAATAAATTACATGATTCTATTAACTAACTTACTAAATCTAATACTTGATTCACTAACTATAATTAATTACAATATAATTCTAACTCACTAACTGCTAACTACCTAATAACCTACACTAAATCTAATATACCAAGTACAACTACTCAAACTACAATATTATAAAAAAATAATAATATTTTGCTTCAGCTTTCACCTCTGCTATACTATTTTAAACTAAAATATCTAGTTAATAGTTTTTATTAGGTTCTTACCCTAACTCTAAATATAAATGAAACACTAACTACAAACTTTCTAATTCTAACCTATTAACTACTAACTAATCTAATAATACTTATTAATTTACTCTAATTTAAAACAATAAACAAAATAATACTAACTACTCTAATATAACTTGCTAATACCAAACATATCTATATAAATTACACTAATATAACTTGCTAATACCAAACTTGTCTATGCAAATTATATTTATATAACTTGCTAATACCAAACTTGTCTATATGAATTATACTAATATACCTTGCTAATACTAAACTTGTCTATACAAACTATATACTATAATAAGTTAAAGTTGGTTTAATACTAATACATTATAATACATATAACAATTCCATTCTTAAAATAAGAATTGAATTATATAAAATTATTAGTATTTGGTTAGTTTATATTATGATAATTAAATAGGCTAAATAAATAAAGATATAAACATATAACTTAATTGGTTTAAGTAATAATATATAACATATATATATATTATTTTAATCATAAATAAAATATATTCTAAAAAAAAAGATAATGAATTTGATTTTTTTTATATTATTTTTTACAACTAGCTTTATTATATCTATGCTTATGACATTATTGACATTTAGTTGGCTTCTGCTCTGAAGTAGTTTTTTGTTTTTGTTTTATTTCTTAAGATCCTTTAAAATATATTTTGCATAGTACATCTTTCTTTAGATAAACAATAGGATTCTGAATTAAAGATAGATCTATATTTTTAGTATTATTATAGTTTTAAGTATAATCTAAATTATAATTGCTAGACTTATCTAAATTATCAAAATTATTTTGCATATTATTATTTAATTTGACTAAAATCTCTCTTTTATTAATATTTTTGCATACTAATTCTTGACTAGCAATATGTTTTGGAATATGTTTTATTATAAAATTCTTTATAAAATTATTAAACTCTTGTATTGCTAAAGGTTCTACTTCTAGTCCTATCTGAATTGCTTTTTTAGATAGTCTATTAGCTATTACATATTCTTTTTATTAATTCAAAGACCTATATATAGTTTCATAAGAAATATTAGGAATCTTAAAAAGTACATTTAAAATATTTTATTATTTAATATAGTTTTAGAAAATTTTTGAAATCTATCAGTAAAAGTTTGTTGTTTAAGAACTAAGACAGGTTTAAGTTGTTTCTCATCTTTGTACTAGTATTTTAAAATAAGAATAATATGAAAAAATGCATATATTAAATTTCCTAATAGGTAAAGAAAATGACAACATATTATTCCATAATGAATTAAACAAAGACAAGTTCAAAGATATGATTAATTATTAAAAAGTACTATATAGTTCTTTTTACTATATCAGTAACAAATAATCTTCCAAATTTTAATAACATCTTCATAATATTTATTAGAATTAGCTCCTTTAGAAGTATTAATAGAACATCAATAATTTCTTCTACAAAACTAGTACTAAATAATTCATTTTTATATCTAAGTTTAAAGATATGACTTTTATCTACTAGAGAAAAGTGCATCTATTATATTATTTACAAATTCATATTAGTTAATAAGCAATACTGCAAATTCTCAAAATAATAAGTATAAGTATTATTTTAAGTTACAGCCTGAATTAAGTATAATTCAGAATGTAACTCAAAATAATACTCATACTCATTATTATAGTAAACTAATAAATAGTTATACTATACCAAATAGCTTGAGCTATTTCTTGTTATTGTATTAAAAGGGCTATAGGTATTAAATAATCAATTATCTATTTATTAATTATAGATGAAAAGTCATAACTTTTATAGATAAGAGTTGAACTAGTGTTATAAAATGAGTTTCAATTATTTTATTTTATTATTTTATTTATTATTTTTATTATTAGTATTTTTATAAAT